AAGGATTAGTAAAATCGCATTCATGTAACACTCGACCCGTTTTACATTCACAACAATTTTCAATCAATTTTTCATATGAATCAGTGGTTAGTAATCCATGGGCTAAAGCAAAGTCATAGTTTGACTGGTCAAATACAGTTCCAGTTAATAATCCATTTCCAATGGCAACACCTTTTATAAACACACTTTTAATTTTAAAAATTATGTCCTTTGAGTTTAATTACCTTTTAGTTTAATCGCAGATTTAGTGTTGAATATCTGTTGGGCTAACATTGGGATATAAACTCCGGCATAACTTTCATCCGTTATATAAAATGGGTTTTTCTTGTAATTGGGATATTTCTTGAAAAATTCTTCTAATACTAAATGGTTGTCCTCTGCCGTAGACTTATCAGTATTATTATAGACGCCGTCGTCTTTATAACTAAATCCAGTTCCGGCCGGAGATTCAAGATATATGACATTCGCCACAGTATTCCAACTGTGAGGGTTCAACACCAGGGTCTTCCCATCGGAATTCACTCGAAAGGGTCCGTTCTCTCCCAGGTTTCCAAACAGTGAACTACAACCGGGCCCTCCATTCAGCCATAGGACTACCGGTGCGTTCTCGGGATCCTTTTGGCTTTCAACGAACCAATAGAAGTAATGTTTGCCTTCAGTTATATCCAAATAACCGGAATATTGCTTAAAATTAATCGGTTCTGAGAGACCCGGAAGACTCTTTATCTCATCATCGTTTGCAGTAATTATAAGAAATAATGTAAATAACACAGTAATAAATACAAAGAAAAAGTTATTATAAGTCATAATTAATTATTTAAAATAATAAAATATAATAATTATAACTGTACTCAGTGTACGATGGCACAAAATTGAAAAATTCTAGTTTTAAATGGTTTCATTCAATTTAAAATTTATAAGTGTACAATTTCTAAGAAAATGCAAGATTTATCAATTATTATCAGTCGTTAACATTATGTTTATGTTGTGCCTATCATTTAATGTTTGATCACTAGACTCAATGTTATTTTCTATTTCTGTACCTTGTAATGATTATCAAAAACAATTTAAGTGCAGTACTTTATTTATATACTGTACTGTACTAATTAATACAAATGATAATGATACAGTACCATATCAAATGTTTAACATTTTACTTTTTATAACTTTATTTTTATTTATTCACATTTCATAAGAACAAGAATCTCGTCATTTTAAATATGAATTAATTGTTTTACACTTAAAACTGTGTGATTCCGATCACATTCTTGAGTAACTGTAGGGCAGCCTCTGGTTTGTCGTGAGGGACCATATGTCCGGCCCCGCGGACTAACACGAAACTCAGGTTTTTCTCGTAGTGCTGCACAAACCCACCGATCCTACCGTCCCCATCCGTCCACGAACTGAAAGTATTGCAATATTTATTAAAATCATCGTATAATATAATATTAAACTGTATTATTATTAAACTTTGAATTCTTACGTAAAACGGCC